AAAAAAAAAAAAACAACCACACACATAAGCGCCCCTGTTACTCGCGGCACGTGGGATGCATTACTCAACACAGTAAAGGCACACACACACACACACACACACACACACACACACACACTCTCTCTCTCTCTCTCTCTCTCTTAAGCATAAGCGCATACCTCCTTGATGTTGCGGAGGAAGCTTTGGCTGAATGTTCGCACCTGACCAAACTTCTGATTTGCCTGCGAGCGCGCAACAGTGTGGCAGCAGCGGCAACGGCAGCGATGAGCGTATTTTGCAGGAACAAGCGACCAGCAACAACAACACGTAACACACGCAGGCCATACATACACGCAGGCAATAAGCACACGTACAGGTACAAGATTACATTCACGCAGGTGAAAACACAGGTAAATACACACACCAGCACACACAGACAGACACACAGACACACACACACCTCTGAGGAAAGGTTGCGAGCGGCTTCGCTCGACTTGAGCTTCTCCGCGGCACGCACACCTGCATGCATGACGTGACAAACAATATCACATTACGTGAGCGACAGCAAAGGCGCCTGCCTCCATGATTATGAAATGAACCGCATCAGGCACGCACAACAAGGCATATGACACGCATGCACATCAGGTCATACGACAAGGCATCGCACCTTGGCTGGAGATGTTCTGCACGTGCTGGTGAGACACCTGTGCAAACCGCTGGAATGTCTTGGACCGCGCAAGCTGCAGCCAATTAATTGTGTGGGAATGTAACATGGTTGTGTTTGCAGCAGTGAGAGACAGAAAGGTTGGGCGGAAGAGGGAGGCAGAGGAGAGGGAGGCAGAACGGGAGGGGGAAAGAGGGGGAAAAAGAGGGGGAGAGTCAGGCACAGACACACGCACACACATACACACACACACACACGTACACAACACAACCACACACACACACACAACCACATACACAACACACCCACACATGTACACACATGTACACACACATGTACACACACACATGTACACACACACACTACACACACATGTACACACACACACACACACACACACACACACACACACACACACACACACACACACGCAACACAACACAACACAACACAACACAACACGTACACACAACACAACACCACTCACCGAGCCGGTAATGGCCTCGTTGGCCAGCCAGGAGGCAACACGCTGGAAGAAAGACATGCCCTCGTTTGTGCTATGCGTTGCTTGCTTGCTTGTACGTGCTGTGCTTGCTGTGAGTGGGACTTCAGGCCTCCCTGTCTCGCTGGCTTGTGTCGCTGGCTCGTGTGGTTTGTTGTGGTGTGTTGTGGTGTGGCGTGTTCGTCTTCTTTCCCTTTCGCTCGTTCTCTTTCCTTCGTTCTCTCCTCCTGGCGCAAGAGGGAGCAACAGAATGCTGACGTTGACGTGGTTTTTTGCTGACGCGCCCAAATGAGCCAAATCTTTCCATTTTGTGCAAGTCGTCCCTGTGGTTTCTCAGACGCACACAACGCAAACGCACAACTGCCCTCTCCAAATACACACACACTCAACCACCACGGCGTCATCTGTCACACTCCGCACCCGCTCTCTCCTCTCTCCCCACCTGCTCGCTCACTCAGCTTCTCCTTACTTCGCTCACGCTGCCTTTTCGTTGGTGGCAGGCAGTCACACTTCATCACTTCGCTTCGCTTCACTACCCTCCTCCCCTGTGCGCCCACCCTTAGCTGTGCTCGGTTCCATAGCTCGCTTTTGACACCACAGGCACCACCAGCAGCGAGCACAAGCACTCGCACACGCGCTGTCACAAGCACGCCTGCACACTCGGCACTGCCACACGCACTCTTCGCCTTCCGTCTTCCTTCCGTTTCCTCTCCGCTTTCCGTGCCCTCGATCTCTTTCTTCCATCCTTGCCTGTGGTCGTCTCTTCGTGGGCCACTGAGCGGTGTGGTGGTGACCTGAAACGCAGATCAACAAGCGGGAATTCGCGTGTTCTTCTTGGCGTCGCCGTCGTTGTTGCCGTTGTCGTCGCGGCGGAGATTTTGGTTGTGTGCGTGATGGCCGACACCCGCACCTCTCAAGACAGCAACCTTGGATCCCTGCATGATGGAGTGACCATCGACGCGCTTGCGCCGCATGAGCCCCGTCGCTACGAGATCAAGCTGCGCGTGGAGCGGCGGCTGCTCGAACACATCCTCCAAGGTCGTGTGTGTGTGTGTGTGTGTGTGTGTGTGTGTGTGTGTGTGTGTGTGTGTGTGTGTGTGTGTGTGTGTTG